GCCCGGGAGCTAGAGCCAATATAATGTTATCTCAACAGTATACTGGGGCAGGTGCCAGGTTTTCCGTTTTTTAAAGAAATGTTATCATTCTGAAATGTTTCCATTTAAAAAATGGAATCAAACCAAGAGAGTAAAAAAAAAAAAAAGAAATAAAAATGTAAAGCTGTTTCAGATTGGAAAAGGAAAACTCTCTGTCCTGACAAGGCAGGACTGTTCCTTTCCAAACTCCTCAGGGTGCATCATTCTGTGTTTTCCCCCAAACTATATTTGATCGTGTGCATTTCCACAAAACATTTTGCTTTCTATGAACTGGCATTTTCTGATGGGTCAGAGAATTTCAGCCCAGCTCTCCCCGGCGGTCACTGTCCCTCTTTGCGATTCAGGAGCGTATGCATGTACATCCTTTGCCTTCTCTTAATGCAGGCTGCGCGGTGGGACGTTGCCTCTTTCTGGCTTCTGCCCAGCTACTGCAATTGAAGTTCCCAGCTCCTACCACAAAGCAATCTCTCTTAGTCATGCCCATTAATTATATCAAGACATCGAACGTCTGGACTCTAGAGTCTGTCTCAATGGTTTAAAGTGGGGTCTGGGCAGTCTCCACTCCATACTCCTGCCTGGCTGTATGAGTCAAAAGATCTGATGATCTCTCACACATACAGCATCATCCAAAAGGATCCGCGGTTACCTACTACTAAGCATTTCTATAAAATGAGAGGCCTGATGGGAAGCTCCTAGAGGGAACAGAAAGTTTCAGTGAATGCTCTGGATTCCAGACCAATGGGGTGATGCATTAATGACAATTTAATGCAATCAGTGCAGCTTTGACTTCAATGGCTTTGTCCACAAGCAGCAGTCATGAGCTGCAAAACTTTTTAAAGTAGCAAATACAGGTTTAACAGGAGCTGAGGGTAAAAAAAAAAAGAATAGGGGCCAGGTTGAATAGAGAGACAGGTCGTAGGTGTAATGAATGACTGATTAACTGACTGGGTGCTTCTCACTGGCAGTCACCGCAGCCCTAGTGAAAGCATAAGGTGGAGCAACCCACTGAGAATCCCGCTAGCGAGGGTTGGAGAAAAAACAGATGTCCTATTCTGCATAATTTTTGGACCTTTTTTCTCAGTTGGGCCCAGGAAGAGTTTTTTCAAGAATGTGAAACTTTCCCTGCAACCAAACACCTGAAAGACAAAGAGAAAAAAAGTTGCAGTCGAACCATTTTGCTTCCATTTCACTTTTTTAAAATGATTTTTTAAGTATATGTCAACTTAAATTGCAAAACAATAAGTGGCTTCATCCAGAAAAAGGGAACTTCTCACATAATTCATGTCAAAAGTCCCATCTGACAATGTCTAAATATTTTTCAACGTTTTTTCATAAAGGTAAATCCCTTCAGATGGGACCATGGGATGCTGTAGGGAGTCACAGGTGGGGTTTTGATACATAGGGAATGTTCTTTAACACGAAACCATTTTAGCAAAAAGGCTCTGACCTGCTATGAGTAACTGCCCTTAGCATCAGATGGGAAACCCATCCATCAGGGCAGGACGTGGCAGAAGAGCAGCACAGAAAACACCGGGCAATACCCCAGGAAGTTATAAATAAAGGATATGGCAAGCCTCCGAAAAAGGCAGGGGATTACTATACTAGAGGATATGAGAAATGCTATTTTTCCTCAAAACCCAGATCTAGGGGACCCTTGTCTTCTTTTATGATACCCCCGAGTTCAGTGGAGATCCAGTTCTGTATCGTTGAATATTGGGTCTCCAAGAGAGGCCAATGGCCAATGCAAGACAGCTCTTGAAGGTGTCTTTTAGGACTGTGATCTATGAGGTACGACATGGAGGAAGGAGATTTCAAGATGATGATTAGTTTGGGGTGTCTGTGGATGAAATGCTATAAAAACATCTCACCCTTTTTTTGCACTTCCTCACCAGAAACTCACTCACCTCGTTACACACCTTGTTTCCAGCTCAAATGGAACAGACAAGGGAACGCAGCATGGGCTGTATGGTCTGACGATGAAGTCAGGGCATCGTGGTATAAACATTAGCATGGCATTTGCATGACTTATTTGTCAGGTGCTGCAGATTAAGAGAACAGTCTGTCACAAGCAAGCAGAGAAAAACCTATGCAATCGGCCACACCTTCGGAGATGGCTACTCTGGGCCGTCCTCAGATGGAAACTAGCTTGTGCAAATGTGCCCCCCTGCCACACCGTCCTTTGCGCTTGGCCCTGTATTTGGATTTGTGCTTATTCTGTTCAAGTTTGTAGCATGGTCTGGTGCTTCTGTCAGGAGGCAGCAAAATCCCCACGGGAATGCTAGAGCTGGCTGCAGAAGAAAGTCTCCCCAAACTGCCCCATCGCTGTGATCTGCAGCACCCCGTAATATTCCACACACACACCCGCACATGTCTGCCAGTGTTATTTCTGTCCTGATTTGCAACATCCTTATTGCTTCAAGGGTTTTGCCAGAACACAACACTGCCAGTGCCCTGCAAGGATTACCTGCTTCAGTGTTTACTCATTTTTAATGTGGCTTGTTCACGCAGTGTAGATGAGCTACTGAGTTCTGCGGTCATTTTGGACCTATGGGGATAAAACCAAACCAGTCAACTGCCTTTCACTTCTTATCTAGTCTAGTATTTGAAGCTCTGGGGATAAAAAGTCTGAGCAGCATTAACAGGACTGCTGCTCTAGTCCCACAGTTAGGATTTTGCAGAAAGAAAAAGAGCAGTGCACCAAAGGAGTTTAGATTTCAACACACCTTTTGCTAATGTTGCAAAAGATAATACTACTTAGCAAACACAGTGCATGGTATTTCAAAGCACTGCAAAGAATGAGTTGCCCAACATAATGTTGAGATAACTAAAGATAATGATTCCAGCTCATACAGACGAAGGGAATGGAGATACTGAGTGATTAAGGGATTTGCCCAAGGCCACCCACTGAGTCAGTGGGCCCAGACTCAACTGAACAGCCCTGAACTTGGAGAAGAGCTTGAACCTTGGTCTGAACCACATGGGTCTGAGCCACCTTTGGTTACTGTGCAGCTGCAAGATCCCATCCCAGCCAGCGGGATCAGCAAAATGTTCCTGCTATCATGGCGACTGGTGGATGGGTGTCCTAGCAAAGCTTCCAAGTCTCACTCTGCCTCTACGTCTACCTCGGAGTCATAGCCTACAGGACGTGGGGCAAGATTCATCGTTTTAGCCAGGCTTTTACCTTGCTATTGGAGCCCCATTCAGCAAGCTCCAGTGGCAGTAGGTATGAATGGACTGGGGGGTAGGCTTTTTCCTGAGAGTTTGGTATAGGGGTGTGTGTGTGTGTGTGTGTGTGTGTGTGTATTTTTATACATATATATAAAGCACACACACACACACACACACACACACACATTTAAGGGCTTTGTAATGCTCCAGCAATGACAGCAATGCATACCAACACTTCCAAGCATTCCTATATCTTCTGGAGTTTCCTACCCTCTTAGCATATCCAGCAGCTCTGCTTAGGGTCCAGTTTCTCCCTTCTCCCTCTTACCCCATGCCCTCGGGGCTCTCTTTCATGGTGACCCTTTGCCTTGTGTCAGAAACCCAGGCACTTGCCCAAGGACATCTCAGTCCTGTGTGGGCAGCTCAGCACCCTGCCTCCTCTGCCAGACCTTGCTGCTCTGGCCCAACCTAAAAGCCCAAGGCATTGGTACTGGGCAACTCTGCATTCCCGCAGCAATGACTTTCTCACTGTACATGCTCTCATGGTACCAAGAGGGGCTGGGGAGAAATTGCTCCCGCGTTCTTAGTTCCAGCTCCTCCGCTCCTTGCTGGCTGCCCTTGGGAAATGTACTTAAACTCCCTGCCTCTCTCCTCACCTGTCAAACAGGTGTAGTGACACTGCCCTGCCTCATCCTGGGTGTTGGGGAGGATTACTTAGATGTTTCCATGGTGTTATCACTGCTCTTCAAAACCTGTCTTGTGTATATTGGAGCCCTAACAAAGAAACCAGCCTATATCAGCTGAGGATTAGAGAGGTCCACATGTCACAGGGCAATAATGTGGCTGTAATGGATTTTCCCTTTGGTTCATTAGACTTGAGTATTGTGCAAAGGGCCTGCAGATGATACAAGACCTATTATTACTATGCCTCCAAACAGAGATGTTTTTCTTCTCTGCTCAGAGCGGTTACCACTTCGGCCTCCCGTGCTACTTCCTGTGGAGGAGGTGCTTGAAGTGTGATCTTGCTGGCAAGACTTCTCATCAATATTAAAATAATATTCTGTCATTTAGGGTGGTGTAGACACAAGGATCGTGGGGAGTAAGAGCCTGATTTTTATGGTATTTAAGGACCTACATGCACAGAAAGGTGATTTTCAAAAGCATCTATCTAGGTGTCTAATGCCTAATGCTTTTGATGGCAGCGAGGAACTTTGTCACTTGAATATTTAGCTAGGCAGGTATTTTAGCTTGAATTCCTTTAAAGATCTGGCTCGTGTGAACACAGGCTATTAGATCAGTCACCCAGTATTTCAGGATAGAGAGATATTTACAGACATTTCAGTGAAAACATAACGACTGAACATTGCCTTTTCAGTCTCCCTTAAGAGACAGGTGACGATCAACTATTAAATGAAGATGCAACAGGGTCATGCTGTATCCGGAGCATTTTATTACTTAAAAAGTTACAAAACAAAAATCAGTGCAGACTCATTCTAGCGGAGCCCAGAATTAACCGGACTGCGACTGCAAGAGGTATTTTTTATCCCGAACATCAGCATCAAATATAAATATCTGTATTTTATGCATACATAATTTACCACCACGTATTAATATTACACTGTATAAATATTTCTGTATATTACAAACCTATTGTAGCAAAAATTGCAGCACTATGTTCAACTTTTAAGCAATTCAGGCACCCCTTATGAGAAGGAAAAAAAAAGAGTTGTTCCTTCTCTCTCCTCTGAAACTGAATGCCGCTGCAAAGAATTTAGGGTCAGCCTAACGGTGTCTCTGCAATGGGTTCTTCTCAAAATGAAAAAAAGCAATGTACTAAGGAGATGAGGGCTGAAAGCCAGGCTAGAGTGACTGCAGCCTCATGTTATCACATACGTTGCCATCCCAAAGGTGCTATTAATGGAAAGAGCACATGCTTGTTAATGTCTACTGGAGTCATTTTATGTATGGGTAGGTTAACATTTAACTCAAGAATATTTATGAAATGCTGATGGGCCTGTCTGAAGTCAGAAGGTGTCCAGACGGAGCTGGTTTCCTCAAAACAGCATAAGCCAGAAGCTATGAAACTGCCAGAGACACAGTGTAAGCCCCAAGAAAAATGCTTCTAAAATGACAGGACCTTGAATGATTCCTAAGACAAGGTTACAGATCAAGTAGATCTAAGCATGGCACCAACCTAGCTGCAGTACGATGTGTAGCATTTAGAGGCTAAGCTCTGTGCCACCCGAGAAGCAGCAAACTGCAATGCTGCCTGTCTCTGCAATTCCCATGGGCCCTCCAAGCCAGGCCTATTGAATATGTACCCTGAATAATACATATATATTTTTCTGCTCTGCACATCCAGCATTAGCTTTAGGGCTCTACATCTACACAGTGGTCTTTGATGTATCTAAATCCATTCAGCACAACTTCTGGGTACAGTTCTGGTGTGTGGATCTTGTTAGAAATTGAGTGTAAAGGTAGGTCCCCGTTCTTGCTTGCCACGATGATCCCAGCATTGGGAAAAGTCTGAGCTGAGCTGCTATCAGTACCAGGGCCCTCAGGTACAGATCTGTAGTTTTCCAGTGTCAGACTCACACTGGAGATGACTGGGCTTTGGGCCATCTTCAACGTCTTCTTTGACCTGGACCATTTGTAGCCAAAGATGAGAGAGAAAACTATTGTATCCAAGAGAAACTCAAGCATTTCAACCACGGACAATACAGAAGACCCAAACCATAGGCTCCACTGGCTTCCCATGTTGGACAAGAGTAGATTCAACTGTGAACAGGAAAAGCAGAAATGATTACAATTCGAATATTCACGGTTTAACTCAAGAAGCCTGAAATTATTGTGTTTCACCGGCTGGTGAATCAGCCTCAGATGGCAGAACGCAGAACACTGTGGGCTCGCTAGCTCCAGGCTTCAGCTCCTTAAAATTGTCTTTAATACGGGGGGGAAGGGGCAACATTTCTGGATAAATGCACAAAAAAACCCCCAAATATTCCTTCTTATTGCATCTCATGCTGGTAACAAAATTATCAAGTCAACATACTGGAAGAACAGACTCCAGAGAGCAAACACAACACCAGGAACAGCAGTGGAAGCAGCAGGTTTCCCTCACTGCCCTGCCACTTCTTCCTGGGTTGGGAACAGAGGCTTGTGTGACGGGGCTGGACTGTGACTGCAAATTCATTAGACAAGGGATGAAACACCTTTAGATACTAAGATATTCTCGTGATGGCCAACTCATCTCAGTCTCAGAACAGGGGGCAAAGGCTGATTGCTGCCCACTGCAGCACGTGGTTTTAAATTCCCATATGTTCCCATAGCTATCTCCAAAGCCCCAGAAGTGATGTGATGCTCACTCTGCAAGGTCCTTTCACCCTTGTAATTCAACCTATTGCAACACCCATGCCTACCCCCAGTGAAAATGCTCTGGGTTGGATTCTGCAAACCCATGGGCAATGAATAGCAAGACACGTCCAATTACCACTCCACACTACATATGCACACAGAAACGAGGTGTTAACATCAAGTATCAGCTGTACAGAGTGGCAGTAAATGATAAGGCCTTTGCAGCCCTACCTCCTTCCCTGGGGTGTGGATGGAGAATGGGCAAGTCTGAAAAGACATTAGCCTGTAGCAGGTTCAAAATCCTCTCTGCAAGTCAGGCGCTAGATGTTATCAAATCTCATGCTTCAGAGCTGATCTGATCCCATGGCATGGTTAGGAATAGGAAGCAGTCCTCTCTATGCCCCAGTGCAGCCCTGCATAATTGGCTAGACATTCCCAGGGTGTTAGCTGCATTTCCTTACTAGGTTCTGATCTTGGCCATTGCCAGGAGCAGGGATGATGATTAAAGCCATGAGCTGATCCAGTGCAACTTACTGTGAGTAATGGAGACTCATTCACAGACTGATAGTTCAGTTGCTGGTAGAAGATATTCACCTTGGCAATATCTTTCCTGCAGAGGAGAGTGGAGGTAATTAGCAGAAGTGAGATCCCTACATGGCAGTCTACCCATTGCAGGAGCTTCAGGTGCTGATGGTATGTGGATCTCTCCTCTTCTCTGCCTATGGCCCAGAGTCTAGATTTCTGGGGGCAGAAATATCATAGCCTAACTAGTTTTGGGGCTCAATATAAGCACGCGAACCTTACTACATATAGCAGATTAGACAAGCTGATCTAATGTTGCCTTCTAAGCTTAAACTCTATGAAACCAAGGGATTCTATGAAACCATTTAGCATTGACATTTAATTTTCTTAAAATAGAGAAACCTTGCTGTGGCAGGGCACTGTTTGTGCCTGCCACTTTAAGGGCCTGAGCTGAGCAGCCAGCAGGTGCCTGATTAGGGCAGCCATTTTAGATTCAGGGCTACCTATATAAGCAGGGCATTTGACTGCTGGCAGAGCAGGTAGTAATTTTGCTTGGCTGTGAGGCTGTATGGTGCAATAGGAGGTAAGGGCTGGAGTTGCAGGGGATGGCTAGGAGGGTCCTGGTCATGCATATATATATATATATATATATATATTTATTAGTGCTTCCCCTGGAAGGGGCCAGAGTATGCTTAGACCCAGTTGGGTAATTGGCTGGCCACTACCCTGGTGAGGGTCATGGGAGAGGCCCAACAGATAGTACATCTGCCACCCAAGGAATGGACTAGCTAAGCCTATGGCCAAAGAGGGCCTGCTCCAAGAGGGAGCAAGGTGGCATAAGTTGGTGATGTGTGAAAGAGACCCTGTGAGAGAGGGTGGAGTGTGTGAGGCCTGAGTGAGAGGCAGGCAGTATGGATGCATGTGACTAAGGTCTGACAGCGTAGCCTAAGCTTGCTCTGGTTGTAGGCCAGGAGCACTGTAACATCTGGATGCTGTCTGAGGCTTGAGCTGCAGCGTAGGGGAGGTATGGAGCTGCAGACATCCCCAAAAATTGGGTTGCAATACTGGGTGGTGTCCTGCCTTATTTAACAACTTACTAACTACCAACAAGGTGTAGCGGGTGAGATGGGCAGGCAGCATGCCCAGAGGCAGGTGAGGAGCTAGCTGCAGCTAGTGAAGGTGCTCACCTTGCTACACTTGCAAATAGGTCTCTTACACTGGACTAAAAGCATAGCCTGGTAATGATTTGAACTGTTAAACTGAAGGAAGATACCAGGCCTGATCCAGTCCTCGAGAAGTCGGTGAGAGACTTTCCAATGGACATCAGTGGGCTTTTGGTCAGGTCCCCAATGCCTATCAATGCCATGTTTTGTAGCTAGATCATTTGTCTGGACAACTAGGATGTCGGAATGAGGGTCTTTATTGGTGTGCACATAGGCATACTCTACATGCACTGGTGTTGTCAGTATTTCCGATGACAGGGAAACATTTAGCTTTGGGCTGTTTTTAATACTAGTCAGTCGCTGTGGGATAGGAGTATCACTCCATGAAAACAAACTAGTTCAGGGGCTGTCAATCACTCAGCTATCCTTGGATGAACATCACACCCCATCATCCTCTGTTAGTTACTAACCTGTTGCTAGTAGAGTTGTATCCTTTCTGTTGACTCAGAGCCTGGCGGATCCAGTCCTGAAACACAATATTTCTATATTAATGGTCACTCCCTCTTTTGGAACTGGCACCAGATTATTGCAGCTAGTTAATTATAGAATTTGAGGCATAACAATCCATATTCCCTCGATCCTGTAGAGGAGGTACAGTAATACTACTTTCATTGGGTGTGCTTAATATTCTACAGGGCAAAATTTCACACACAGAAAAATAACCATTGTTAAATTTGAAGAGCAGCACAGCAGGATCTCAAATCAGTTCCTCCTCTGAAGACTGAGAAATAGCCAGATGTGTGTAGCCAATGTTCTTAAATGGTGACTTCTTTGAATGGCCACCGTGAAGGAAAGTTATTCTTTAAAACCAGTGCACCACTGATGATCAACCATTGCCCGTCATATTTGTACCTCTACGCTGCTTGGTGTTCCATATGGCAGTCCCTAGGGTATGTGTTTTAATACCCAGGTGACATTAAAATAAGAGAAACAGGAGACTGTCATCCAGAAAGTCCTGAGGCTCCCATGACGGTCTCTCATCCCCTCATGAACAATAATGGGATAGGAGGTTATGCACAACTCCATTTTACAAATGGGGAACTGAGGCACTGAGTTGAAGTGACTTGCCCAAGACTTGTAACAGAACTAAAACTTAGAGAGACTTGGAGATTTGGGCTATTAATGCCTTATCTACAAGGCTGTTCTTGAGTATCCGGCATCCTAGCTAGGATGGTTTACTTCAATCCAATTTTTCCATCTTAGTTTTGCACTAGACCCTTCAGCCTCCCATCCCTTGAAACCAGTCTCATGGGCAGGTAACCTACGTGACCACAGTAAAGACGGCTTCCCCTCCAAACAACACTGTATTGATGCAGCCGTTACCTCTGAATTCGGTGATGGCCATTTAGCAGTCCCTGCAGATACCTTGTACCATGATTCGCTGTTAAGGTGAAACAAAAAATGAAGGTCATGATGGTCCCAGTATTTAAAAATGAATGAATAAAAAAACCTTAACAGCCTCTTCTCTTTCCAAACAGAAGTTTTTGAGACTCTTTGGATGCAAGCATGAGAACAGGACAATTAACTTTGACAAATGCTAAATTTGCTGACAAATGGAGTTCTGGGAGGGACCATAAGTAACCATTTGAAAATGTGGATTACATTTGGTGAATGACTTGGGCTGAAAAAAATAGGAGGCAAATGTAAGATTCCCCCAAACAGTTCATTTAAACTTTTCAATTCAAAAGGGCATTTTTACATTTAAAATCTGGCCCATATTCAAATAAAATAAAGGTTAAAAACCAGTCAAATAATCCCAAAATTACAGACAGCATTTTGTTTCGGGGAGAACAAAATGTTTCTGGTTAACCCACAGTAAACCATCTCTAAGTTGGTTTGTTTCACTGGGGGGAAAAAAATCTAGTTTGATGTCATCCAAAGCAACTTTTTTTTTTTTTTTTCTATTTCTCTTTTTTGCTACCAAAATGAAAATCCCATGACTTGCTTGGCTCCAAGTATGTATGCATGAGTGTTTCCTATGTACACCAGAGAACATGAAATTTGGTAGCCCTGAAGCAGCAGCATTTTCACAGCAGGCTTAAATGGGCCTTGATATGGACCTTCATCAAGCTAATTTTGTGGTTTCTATCCCTATATTATGGACTGACCCTACATGTTGTTACCTGCTAGCCACTCTAAATGAAGCCAGCAAGTGGTAAATAGATGTCCAAGCAAATGAGAACGATGGACTAGACAATGCACATGCAAGTCTCAAAGCTGAGCTAGCTACACCCCTGTTGGAGCCCTTCCTCTTCTATGGGCTTAGCAACGTGTCCTCTGAGCTAGAGACTCACCGGCATGGTTTGGGACACTTGCTGAAACAGCTGAGGTGGTGATCCGCGAGCCGGTTGTACAGCTGGTAGAAGCAGTGACCTGGAGGAGGAAATGGAAAAGGGCACGCTCAGACAGACGGCTCCCCCAGGAAACGCACTCCCCAAACCCCATCGTTTCACCCTCCTAGGCACACAATGTTCTCGCTCAAAGCGGGAGAGAGTGTCCTGCTCTCTGCCTCCCACTGTGGAACGGGTGCAGATGGCTCAGGATTTCATTCAAGAAACTTCAGCAAGAGCCACTTGGAGAGGCATCAATCAGAGAAGGAGAGTGTCCTCCTACATACAGCAACTGCCTTATACAAGTGTTGTTACTTAAAGTGGCGATGTAAAATTGTGAAGGAGCAGGTTGGGCTCTGGCATGCCCTTTTTTTTAAACTCTTAATCTCTGCAGAAAGTAGTGTTTAATGGCATCGAGATACTCCCCTACCATCATCGTGTGTGTGGATAGGAGAGTAGTAAAGCACTGGAACAGGTTACCCAAACAGGTTGTAGAGTCTCCATGCTTAGAGGCTGTTAAGATCCTGGTAGCCAAAGCCTTGGCTGGGATGATCTAGTTGGGGATAGTCCTGCTTTGAGCAGAGGGTTGGACTAGATGACCTCCTCAAGTCCCTTCCAGCCCAAATTTTCCATGATTTTATGATGTGTCATTGCAGTTTAGTAGGGTTTGGGCACAAGAATAAATGATACCAGTCTCTTTGGAAATGGGGCTGCCCACCAAAAGGCTTTTGCAATGTAGAAAAAATGTTTATTAGACTAAACTCTCTTCTTTTCTCCTCTGAGGTAAACAGCATCAATAGTTATGATGACAAGCTAGTGAATTATTTCACCGGCCTACTTCTAACCAATTTTCTCCAGGCATCTCCCAAATACATGGTAGAAGAGGCATCAGTTCAGAAGTCAATTAACAACCTGTTCTTTCAAGCCATGTCTAGGATGGCATTTCCGGTGCCCTTACCCCATGCGGGATGCTTGTTGTAGTTACAATATTCGGCATCAGGAGGCAGTGGGTAGTAATAGTATCCACAGCCACAACGTTGAATCATGATGTTTTGGAAGCAAGAATGCACACAAGCCTGAAAAAAGCAGAACATTGAGTAAGTGTGAGACCTGGTGTCCTACTTTTTGCCCAGTAACGTGTGAGAAGACTTCTTCCTTGCCAGAATGCAGTGGCTGCAACCATGGCCTGATGGGGAAAGGGTTTTCACAAGCTCTCAAATTAATATTTCAAATATTCAAAGGCTGGATAGGTGCCAAAACCAGAAGAAAACAAACTTCTGAGGGCGCAGGAACACCAGTTCTGGACCTGGAAGAGACCCACTGTCCACCTAACTTGGCATCTACCTGTCTCCAATTCAGTCTAGTATGACAAGCAAGAGAAAACTCCAGTGTCCTGAACTCAGTGTCCCCTGGCCAATACATTAAATTGTAATGCTCAATACTGCGTGTGTGTAAGCATCTTCAGAAGGGTCATAACCAATGTGTTAGTCACTGTGCTGCTAGCATCTAACTCATTGCTTTGGAAAGCATGCAAGAGATTATCTGAGTGTGACTGATGCTATGAGAAATCAAACCCTCTGCTTTGAAATTACCTGCAGCGTGTAGGAACTCTTGTACAGGAGCTTGACATTCACATCGTCGCCATTAACTGTGCATCTCCCATAATTCCCACCCAAGCGATGTACCTCATCCTGTGGGCACGCAGAAAAAGAGCCTCATATGATTGGGAAGCATCAATCAAATTCAAGCAGATGCGTAAACAGTTCAAAAGGCATGTTAGGACTAAACAAATAGACCACAAAGACTGGGGAGCACATGGAATAAAAATAAAGAAGAGACACCAGAAGCTATATTTAGAGGTCAGGCTGAGTTAAACCCTGCAAAGGGAATTAAAACAAACAGCAAAGCTATTTTGGCCACACAAATAAATAGAGAACAAGGGAAGAAGTGGGGCTGGTACACAGAGATGATGGGGAGGAGATTAGAGATCATCAGGGGGTAGCCCAAAAACTAAATTAATAACTTGCTCCTGTGTCTGCCAAAGGGAATTGGACATGGGAGTTGAATATGGGGGTAAAAAGGCAGGATGGTTAATTCCATGAGGCTACTAAAATAGAAGCAAGTGTCAAGGAGTTCAATGCACTCGTGTTTGGGGGGGAAACAGGAGAAAGATCATTTCCATCCCAGAATTTTGAAAGAGCTAGCACGTGAAATTGTAGATACAATAGCAAGGATTTTTAATAAATCTACAAAATCATGAGTAATACTATATTATTGTTGAACAGCAAATTTGGTACTTTATATTTAAGAAGGTGAATTCATACAATTTGGGCAACTACAAGTCTCCTCGTTTGACTTCAGTGGGGAACAAGTCTTTGAAGAAACTTTGAAAGACATAGAGGGAAATAGGGAATGGGATAACGCACGACTGTGTTTACTAAAGTAGATTAAACCACACTAAACTTATATCTTTTCTTTAATAAACTATCTGATTTTTAAGATAAGAAGAAAAACAAGATCTAATCTAGTTGAGCTCCATTAAACATTTGATATAGTGCCACATGGGAAATTATTAACCTGGAGAAGGTGGGGATTAGTACGAACATTGTGAGGTGGGCAAAAGCTAGCTAATGGATTATGGTGAACGGGGAAGAGTTGGGCCATAGTGAGGCCATCCCTTTGCTCATAACCTGCCATTATCACCTGAAAAAGGAACTGAACGGATGCTGATGAGCAAGCTCAGCACACCTGTTGGATCCCTATGGTAGTCGCGATCCCTGGTCTGATGTCAAACCCTTCATGCTCGAGGAACGGCGTCTGATTGTGGTTGTGGATCATCACTTTCACACCAGCCACTGTTGACAGCAGGGCTATGTGATCCTTCTGCTCTGCTTTTAGGATTAGAGAAAGTCCTAGAAACAAAAGGAAAGGAAAGCCTTCATTAAACCTTGACTTTCAACCACAACTCCTTCCACTGAGGCTGGGAATTAACATAATCTCTCATACTCCCAACATAGCTAGAGAAGTTATATGGGTTGTGCTCTCAGAACAGAGCTTGGTGCAAACTTGGCTAGCGTCCATGCCAAAAAGGATGTGCAATCCCTTTTCTGTGGCGTGATCTTTGCTTGGTCTTTCCTCCCTGCCCCTTCACCAAACCACATACCATATGCAACGCCAGGTTTTGTTGCTTCCCAAAAGGGATTTGTTCCGTCTTTGTTAAAAGTGTAGCAGCTTCCATAGACCGGGTGGTGAAAATGATCATAATCACTGCAAAGAGGAAACACAAATATGAATCATTATGAGCAGAAAAAATCTCCACTGTATTATGTGTATGGTGGTAGTGTCGCAAGGGTCCAGCTAAACTGGACTCCCCCCTCTCCCCCCACTTTGCAAACATAATAAAAAGATGACGCCTGGCCCAAACAGCTTACAATGCAGATAGAGTTACTGCCTTTCTATATTACTTTCATACTCATAAGGTAGTTTGATGCTAATTGATTATTAGCAAACAGAGCACTCATAAGTAACAGGGATACTTCAGTCTCCATCTTATAATTAAGTACATGAATATTGTTAAGAACACTTCAAATGGTGATAACCAATCTTGTATTTCTAGGGCACTTGTCATCAGAAGATCTCCAAACTTTGACAACGCTTGGAAAGTATCATGCCCGGGGTCAGAAGGGGAAACTGAGTCACACAAAGATCGACTTGCACGGTATAACACAGTGAGTGGCAAAAACAAGAATAGAACTGAGGAGTCCTGACTTCTTTTTTCATTGCTGTGACCACTGGACATGGTGCTTTCAAAGGTCAGCATTGATTAGGCATGTTTAGCTGAAACATAAACCAATGCTTTAATGCAGTGGTTTTCAACCTGTGGCCCATGGACCCCTGGAGGTTTGCAGACTATGTCTAAGGGGCTCACAAAAGCTGACTATGATCAATCAGAAGTAAGTGAATACCCACACTTACAATTCAAAGGGGTCTGCACCCCCACTGAATTTTTTTAGGGGTTCATAAATGAAAAAAAGTTTGTAAACAAATGCTTTAAAGGTTTAGGCTGCCTTAAATATCCTTCTGTATCCTTCTTTTGCCATAAAGATGTGCCAAGTAATGGTGCCTTGTATGATACCTTGCAGAGCAATGCTGAGTAACGATGCTATTTAGGATATCTTTGATCTCATGCAGTGTGACTGCATATGGCATTTTTCATATGTGCAAAGAAGCTTCAGCTGGGTTGCAAGCACTGGCTGCATTGTAATTGTGACTTTGGATCAAAATCAAATCAACTTATTACTACCAAGCCTGAGTTTCAGCCCTTGAGCTCTGGTCCTGTACAAGGTACAAGTGCTTCGACAGCATTTAAGCAAACATTTCCTGGCTCTTTACCATGTTTGTACACAATGTTTTGCAGCTCAAGCACATTTGCTTAGTGGAATTGGGCTGAAGTGAGTGCATGCTAGCATCTGCCTCTTTGGTTGCATGAAAGGAACAGTAAGGAAATATATCTAGCATGGCAGAGGACACAAGTAGGGGACCATACAACTATCCCCCTTCCCTGACTGGCCCAGGGCCACAGGACAATTTTAGGGAGATTCTGGTTTGGATTTATGCCATTCTAGGCTTTGTGCTGGGTTGTGTTCCTTTACCATTAACATAGCTGATCCAGTTCACAATTTAAACATCTTTACTTCAGGGTCCCGGCATTGTCTAATAGTGATACCACCGAACTGAACATCAGGCAACCTGGCCTCTGCTTCTGACAGCCCCTGATTTGCTGTGTGGCCTTGCTGAATTCACTGAAGCTCTTTGTGCCTCTCTGTTCCCCCACTCTAAAACAGGGACAAGATTGCAAACCCCTTTGGCAAATCACTTAGAAAGCCTTAGGTGTAAGGTACAACTAGTCAATGCCTGAGGCACCTCTGTATAAATCACAAGAAAATCAAGGTTGGAAGGGACCTCGGAAGGTCACATCTAGTGCAACCCTCTGCTCAAAGCAAGACTATCCCCAACTAGATCATCCCAGCCAAGGCTTTGTCTAGCCGGGTCTTAAAATTTTCCAGGGATGGAGAGTCCATCACCACTCTGGGTAATCTGTTCCAGTGCTTCACCACCCTCCTAGTGAGAGAGGTTAGATATTAGGAAAAACTAACTGCCCTTGCTGCAACTTGTGACCATTGCTCCTTCTTCTGTCATCTGCCCCCCCTGAGAACAGCCCAGCTCCAACCTCTTCCAAACCCCACTTCAGGTAGTTGAAGGCTGCTATTAAATCCCCCTCAGTCCCCTCTTCTGCAGACTAAATAAGTCCAGTTCCCTTAGCCCCTCTTCAGAAGTCATGTGTCCCAGCCCCCAAACCATTTCATTGCCCTCCGCTGGACTCGCTCCAATTTGTCCACATCTTTTCTGTAGTGGGGAGTTCAAAACTCCAGATGTGGCTTCACCAGTGCAGAATAGAGGGGAATAATCACTTTACTTCATCTGCTGGCAACACTCCTACTAATGCAGCCCAGTAGCCATTAGCCTTCTTGGCAACACGGGCACACTGCTGGCTCATATTCAGCTTACTGTCCACTGTCACCCCCAGGTCCTTTTCTGCAGAGCTGCTGCCCAGCCAGTCAGTCCCCAGCCAGCACCGGTGCATGGGATTGTTCTGTCCTAAGTGCAGGACTTTGCACTTCTCCTTATTGAAAGTGTCTGCTCCCCTAAAACTGTGCCCTGTGTAAACACTTTAACATAAGATTTAATGAAGAAGCGGGGGGCAGTGGGTTAAACACTGTAAGCTTTTAGCTCATTGGCCAGGGATTTTCTTCTCTGCCTCAAGCCTGAAATGTGATTTCAGTACGCTCCATACTCCGGGACGTATGCCTCTTGTTCTGCCGAGGAACACGCATATCGCCCCACAGAGAAACACAGAGTTGCTGCTGGGTGGAGGCAGGAGAAGTTATTTTTACCAGGCATGGACAGATTTACATTAGTTGTTCTGGATTATCCTTGCTTTGCTTTGCAGCCCTTCGATTCAAGCATCAGCGGAGGTCACATGGCACAGGGAAACGAGTCCCTGTTATTGTAACCTTCACATGTACAGGGATTATATTCATTTTATGCCACATTTGGGAGGTAAGCTGATGGAACGGGAGACCCGGTGTCTCACAAGCCATATGCTTCCAGGGTGATGCTACAGTCCAGTCCATACAGTGCCACCCACAGCCCATGGAAGGCAACATTGGCAATGGAAATCACATTGCTTTTCCAAAACCGTGCAGCAAAAGTGCCCTTCAGAGTGCTGATCTGTTCCCAAGGGTGCCTCTATGTCTGGCCAGACAAAACTGCCCACGTGACAGGCATTGACACTGAGGCTCCATCTGCTTGGGCTCCATACCAGCTGCATTCTGGTTGCTCATTCATGATAAAAACCATTCATTGGTATTGTGGCCCTGTTCCGCATCAAAAAAAATGACTGCTATCTTCATTAACAAGGAAGTTCCAGCTTGAACTAACTGGAATCCACCTGCCTTCAGTTTCTTTTTATACTTGAGCCCCCTAATAGTCTGGGGCTTAAGGGGCACAGTTTGAGACACACCACTGCTGCATTCCCAAGTAGCAGGGCCAACCCTTTCTTCATCAGGCCGTTCTAGCCGGCTGAAAAACTGCCCTGCTGTTTCTGCTCCACTGAAGCAGAGCTTTCATAAGTGCGCTTGTGCCTCCCCAGTTGCATCTTGATGATCTGGGGGGAGATCAGACTTGGAGTTGCATTGATGCAGCTTTTGCAACCCACAACTTTCCAACACAAGCAGAAACTGGATCTTCTCCGACTCCAACAGCATGTGATGGCAAGAGAAGAACTTGTCCCAGCCAGCTTTAATTAAAGTAGCAGGCATTTGCTCCTGTTTTGGACATCGCTGGTTTTGCTCTGACATCAACTGCGCTCTTTGCAGTGCTGCAGAAGAACATTTAAGCTTGTTTCCAGGTTTTTTTTACTACAGGTCATGAAGGACTAGCCCAAATCCACCGAGCAGAAAATAAGGATGATTTTGCATTGTTTTCTTAATGCTAAAGGAAGGGGACTTGAACTGCTGCTGAATACACCAAATATGATCCTTCTCCTTTTCTACTTTGCTCCCTTCTTTCATCAATGCATTTATTAGCTGCAGCAAAATAAATATTCATCCACTCTATGTGCTGTTCATCAAGGAGAAGGCACAGAGTCCTCCAAACACACTCTAAATAGTGCCAATCAAAAGGATTAATTCCCACAATTTAATACCACCACCAATGCTAGCATTCCCTTCTATACTGCTGTATCAAGGGCCTGGCCTTTTCTGCTGAGGTGTCCCACTATCAGGTATCTTAACCAGATGAAAGGGTACTGTGCGGTTTTCCTTATGTCATGTAAAGCAGATAATTTAACTAGTTGCAGCTGAGTTTTTAAAAGTGGGCTGGAGACTCTTGAGCACAGAGGAGGTTCTGCAAGGGAAAAGCCAGGATTAGCTAAACTGAGATCTGTCTCATTGCTGTGATGAGTTATCACAGTACAGCCAATCCCAAGGAAGGGTTGTATTTGGACTGTCCACTGAGCTAGATCCTTACTTGGGTTGACGTCAGTGGAGCGATGCCAATTTGCAATAGCTAAGGATCTGCCCTGGAGTGTGTGCAGTTTTTAGGAGGAAGACGACAACACCCACTACGTGCACATGCTTTTATCCACGAATCAGAAGAGCATGCGATAGGCATTTGTTCCTATTGCTACACAACCCTATTGAAAGAGAGGTGTGTACTAAGATGGACAGGCTTTGCCCAGAGAGCACAAGGCAGATTGATGGGGAATTGGGACTGCAACTGAGGAGCTGGCTTCCAACTCTGTGCTCTGCCCACTGGACCAGTTTAACCATGAGAAGACAATCCTCTGCTGTAGCCGGCAGGCCAGCACCATCCTCTCTCTTGCTTGTGCTGTCTTTTAATGTGGTGAAACTTCTCTGCTCAACTCAGCCTCTCTGTTTCTACCTGCCTGGTGCGGCTCTGGCTTATTAACAGAGCCAGATGAACACAGCAACATCAAGGCAGCTGATTCATGGTGGTAGTTACAAAGCGTGCACGTGGAGGGATGTTAGGTGCAAGTATCAGCAAGGACTTGCATCAACTTCCAAAGACAGCCAAAGCTATGACTGGTTCCCCAGGCAGGGAAAGACCTTTTGACCCTCCTGCCTAAAACTGTCCATGTGTGGGTTGCAAAGCTCCCCTCTGCTGAGGACACTAGGAAGAGATACTGCCTTCATCTGTACCTCAGGACAACCTTTACCAGCCATTCGGCAGTCATGGGAATTGCTGCGTTGGGTCCTTTTGCTACAACCAGACCAAGTTCCTTGTCTCTACAGAGCTATGCATTCAAACCTGGCTCATGGACGGTCACAAGCGACCTAGGTTAAAGCCTTTTGTAGGTGTGGGGGGCATGCTTTTCAAATCGTGCTCTCACCCAGGCAAGTCTGCTGGCCCGCAAGTGGCATGCTCCTGCATGGCTCGGCTCTGCCATCAGAAACGTTTCAAGGCAGGTGCATGGGGAGGTGGAGCGACCCTACACTTGTATGAGGTGGCAGCTGCTTCCTTCTTTGCACCCAGATCACTACAGGAGGAAGGAGTGAAAAGATCATGACCGTCCTGCCTGCTCGCCCCTTTTGGCCTTGCAGCCCTCCCCAGGTAGGAGAAGTGCAAGGGGCCTCTGCTCGGTGAAGCAGCCTCTTTCTCCTCCTCCTTTGCTCTGACCAACATATACCAATGGTCACAGGGGATCTTACTGTAGCCCATTACACCGCGGAGGAGTCTTAGCACCCATGCAGGACCCCTGGCTTCTCTTCTTAAAGACAACTTGGCCAGCAATACCGCAAAGGACCTTTTATTAGCAGGAATTTGGCATCAAGAGAGCTGACTCTGTATCACTAACAACTGCCCTTGCTGGGGCAAGGGGTTGCACCAAGGTGTCCAGCTCACTAGAATTACATAGGTTTTTCCTTTTTCCCTTTCTTTAATGACATCTAAGAGAAGAACTAGGGGTGAAACCCCCCCCCAAGAGATGAACCCAGGTTAGCACCGTGTGCAGGAAACCCAGGCTGCAGAGGACAGACAAACCAGGGAGACTGGACTCCCTGCGGCTTATACTAACTATTGCCAGAACCTGGAGGATCTCGAAGTGCTTTACAAACTGATTTAAAAAATCTGCAAAGGGAGGTGGGTGCTATTATCCCCTCATTTTTACAAATGAACAAGCCCCAGAGAACACAGATCCCAGGCCTGGGATTTTCAGAAGAGTCAAAACCCCAATTCCCAGCCTGAGTAGTTTGCTCAAGGTCACAGAGGGAGCTAGGAGTATAATCCAGGCTTCCTGGCATCCAGCCCTGTGCTTTAAGCCTCCCTCTTCACCACATTTCCAAGATAAGCCCTCACTTATTTTGGCAACCCATCATGACAGATGCCAGACTTCTTTCAGCCATAAAATTGGCTTCACCCTTGCAAGCTCTGGCATAATTGCAAGCCGCTTGGGCTTTGCTAATTCACCATCGGGAGCTCTTCAAGGATTTTACCTGTTTCTACAGGGCTCCCCATCATACTGGCAGGAGTAGACCAGGTCTTCTATCTGATCTTCGTGAGCAGTAATGTTGATTATCACTGGGAGCTGAGACATGATATTCATGTAGTGAAACTTGTACCACTCGAGAATGGCGTCCACCCCAGATGAGTAGGTCTTGTCAAAACAGTTCTCACCTGTAGCGTTGCACTGGAGAGGAAAGAGGAGGAGAGGAAATGAGGCTCCAGGTGTGCAAGGTGAGGATGGGAGGGGAATTATAGCTGTGGGGCACAACATCTGTCCTGTCCAAAGATGAGCCCCGGGGAAGGTCCAGGGTATTGAGTGTGTACACACTTTGGGCACATGATGGGACCACCTCAGATATGTTCCCAATTACTGCAATTACTCCTTGGACAGAAAAGGGATGGAAGTATTCCTCTCGGTTACCCTGACAAAAGAAAGGCTAAACTCAGTGGAGGGGCTCTATAACCAGTGAAGCACTGGCCAAGTCCTGGAAACCTCTCTTTTCTTACCCGGCGTAAAACCATACTGACTGCCGTGGAAGTTGGCTTGAGTACAGAGCTGCAGAACTGGTTATGAGAATAACAAGTAAAAACACGATCTGGGCACTTCACACCACGTCATCCTCCTTTCATCATAGTTTTTGCTTCTTGTCTAGAGGAGGGCTCTAAAGATCAGCTCTGGGCATCCCCTTACATTTTTATGGACAAAATAATTAGTGCTGCTACTGTGTTTTCTCCGCCAGAGTCATGTGTTAGTAAAGGTTTAAGGTGGGGAAGGGATCTTCAATGGACACTTGTTTGACTTCAGATATTTTTCTTTGGACATTTATTGGACAGTTCAGCCACGTTTATTGGTGCACAGGTTGTGCGGTGTGGCCAACAAGGTGCTGAAGCTTTGTTACACTTACCAACCTAAAGCCCACCATGGAAATGTTCTTCTTCGACACAGGATCAATGACATACGTCCTCACCAGTGGGATGTTGCGATTCAGCTGAAAATCAGCAGGACCGAAGTTGTCAGACTCCTTTCTAGCCAAGTCCTTCACTTTGATAATTTTTTCTTCACCGTGGAACATATTTGCTGTGGCTGAGCTGCCATACAAACTGGCAATGGTCTCCATGGCCAAGAAGTCCAGTTCAGCTAAATTCTCACTGACTGTGGCAAACCTACAAGGCACAAGTAAACAGGAGACGTGTTACCCAGATTACAGGTAACCTTGTGGATAGGCTACCGATAAAAGAGGCAAAAAACAGGTTGATAGTCCACTCTTGTATTTGCTTGCACCTTAAAACATGAAAATAAGCATTTTATCCCCAAGTCTGTTTGGCTACACACAACAGCACAACAGATTTTTACCTATACTGGCTGGGGGACTAATGAGGTGGGGAGGAGGGTGGCACACAGATTGGCAGCAGGTCTTTAATTTGCTGTGTTCTCCAAATTTCCCTCCAGCCTATGTCCAATGTTTATAGATGGCCTGTTCTAATATTTTAATAAATGATCTCTGATTGGTTTTATTTCAAAGTCTTTGCTTCACTGAAACTTTTGGAACTGGACTGAACCAGATCTCTTGTGGACTTGGAAGGTGCTAATTAGTTGGGATTTATATTCTTGAGAGAGAGGGAGGGTATTTTTTTATTTCCTTTCCTTCCCCAAAGTGGAATGCTGTTTTTGTTTCGTCTTTACCTTACTTCACGGTCTTCCCACACAGGGCTGTTTTTATTTTTACACGTTATCTGGGCATTTTAACAAAAAATATACCTTTTATAGCAAAAGAACATCTAATACATTTGGCTACATTAATCACTACTACTATTTTAAGATAAAGCTATGATAGCATATGTATAGAGTATAGGTACTCCTCACTTAATGTCATCCTGGTTAATGTTGTTTGACGTCGCTGATCTATTAGAGAACGTACTCATTTAAAGTCGTGCAACGTTCGGTTATAACATTGTTTGGCCGCCGCCTGCTAGTAGGTAACTACTGTGACGTAATTGGATTCACTTAACATCGTTTCGGTTAAAGTCGCATTTTCCAAGAATGTAACTCCGACATTCAGCAAGGCGTAGCTGTATTTAATGTATGGCCTTTCTTTATCTCCTTTCAGGCCTTGTGCTTTGTTTAATTGTGTTTGATGGTTTCTTTTGCTTGCTGACCAAATTAGTCGTCACACCTGCAAAGGTTTACACTATGGTTACTCAGAAACAGGCTTTGGGCCGTATGCTTAGCAACACTTTTGCAGCCCCTTGAAAATGGCTAAGGCTGGCAATAGTCTGCAGTGCCCTTTTTCCTTCAGTTAAAAAGGCACATCTGTAGGAACACCAATATACACACAATCACTGGAAGGGACTTCAGAGCCATTGAATCCAGCCCCTATTTTCCCTGTCCAAAATGGCATGGCTTTCTTTTAAAGCTGGAAACAACGTTTAATCTCCCGTCCTATTTAGCCTATGGTACCTCTGTACTGAACCAATCATTCCAACAAATGAATGCTCTTACTTCCAAAATGTAGGCTCTTAAATTGAATCCCCAGAATTTGCAGCCATTCTGGCCTTAGCTGCACAAACAGGCATTTCTGAAAGCAAGCTGCTGGTAGGTAACTCTTATAGGCAAGTTAAATAATTGCTGACTAAATCATTTGATAAGCACTGAATAAAAATTTAGGCTCCATCCTGTTATCCCACTTGTACAAAGGTTCCCATGGAAAACAATGTGATTATGCCCATCCCTAAATTCTCACACCTAGATATCAGAAAGGCTCAAGGATTCAGCTCGCAATTAAACAACACGTAGTTTCTCACTCCAGTGGCCTATAGTTCAGATGTGAATGGCTTTGGACGAGATGTGTAGTTTAAGGCAAGAACACTTTTACCAATGTAGAAAATCTGTCAAGTCCAAGAAGATACTATGGAAAGCTCCCTTATACCTGGAAGGAAAAAGATAATCCATGACTATGCACCTGCTAGTACTCATTCCCAAACTGAGGCCAGAGTTTAACCACCCTGCAAATAAAGATGTTGTACCCTCAGGATCCCAACTGGATCGTCCTCAACTCAGAAAAAAAAGTTATCAGACCTTTCTCTGCAACAGTACTGGAACTGTGGCAGCCCTCGGTAAATGCCAGCCTACCTGTATGGGTTGAGATTGCAGAGAGTAATGGCTGGGAACATCTTGGGCTCTGAGTGCATTGACATGCTTGTCACAACAGGATAGGTCCAGTACTGGCTGAATAGGAGTGCAAATTGCCAGTACAACATCCCAAAGCTGGCGAGGAAGAGCAAGGTCCAGAAGGCTGTTTTCATCTTGTTGCTGTCTGAGCACACCAGACGAATGGTGCCGTGGATGGTGGTGTTCTTGCAGAAGAACTCGAACATGTCCCTGTAGGAGTCATAGAACTCAATGAGGCCTTCCTCCTTCTCCTCCTCCTCTCTCGTCAAGTCCTGGTCCATCCTCTCAGGCTGTTTCAGGTTAAAAAAAAAAAAAAAAAAAGCAAATAAATAAAATTATCCTCATTTGTTCTTAAGAATGAAGAGGTATGGCCCATCTCTTTATATAGGGCATAGTGTAGGCAATGGGTTTCACCACTGTCTAACGTGGAACATCTCTGTTTCCAGAACTCGGATACCAGAAAATAGCAGCGCTGTTGGAGGTTTTTGGTACTGCCATGCAAATGAACTACCCAAGTAGTTTTAACTTGTTACTGGCATTTCAGCGAGGTTATCGGGAACATCTGCAAAGTCTCTTAGCATGGGTGTGTGTGGTTAGAATGATTAATGTGTATAATACTGACATAAGGGCTTCGGGAGGAAAATAGTGAATACCTTTTCCCCTTCTGTCATAATAATAATTAAAAAAAATCAGGGTCTCCCACGTACAAACCAGGGTTAACACAAAAGGAAGGGAGGCGATTCCATTGTTCCAATGAATATTAGTTGGTCAATGTGTAACTATGAAACGCCATATACATTTATGGAACTATATAACAAATGATGAGTAATACGAACATTAGAGCATCTATTGATTTAAGATCACATCTGACCTTATTTTTTGCTGAATGCAAATGCTCCTGGTCCCCAAAATAAATAAAACCAGGAAGAGGCCAGTCTCATCTAGTGACTTTGGTTGTATTAATGTAGGGCTGGATATAATCCCAATGGAACTTCTTTTCTACCAACTGTTTTTTTTTTTATTTAAAAAATATTTTAGAGTCAATTTAATGCTGGAAAAGTGCTGGATTGATAGGAATGGAGAAAAAAATTCCTTGGTTTACAAACAGAACAGGGGCAACATGGCTTTATTCTGGACTGGAAGGCGGCTCAACCTCTGGTGATAAGAGAGGAGTTTAGTCACCATAAATAATTTAGTCCTTGGCTTCTCTGAGGATGTTGTCTATAAGGGGAATAGTCAATCAATACTAGGAATGGGGGAGTCTTTTCTCTCCAATCTAAAATAAAGTAACTTTCAATCCCAACCAGGGAGACTCAATTTGAACTTGTGAGTTATATCCCATTAGCAACTGCAGCCACTCTTGAGGCAGAACATGGCACCTGTTTCTCAGCACAGTAGCAGACCCAAGCTCTTTAGAAAAGAAGTGACAAAAAAAACAAACCATTTTGTTGAGAAACTACAGAGAGAATTTTCCTTATCAAAATATAATGAACCCATTTAGAGTTTGGCCATGACATTGAAGCTAACCGTTTACTTCTAGAAAAGATTCCTTGTTGCATTTACAAAAACTGGTATGTCCTTAATAGCATACCATTGATGGCTTTTCTATAACGCTCATTCAGAGAGATCAGAATACTTTACCCCCTGTTTTACAGATGGATAAGTTGAGGCACAGAGAAGACAATGGTGTGCCCAAGGTCACACAACAGACAGTGGCAAAGCTAGGAATAAAATGCTGACCTTTGGGACCCCGTTCTGGTTCATTAGCCATGCACATTCATCTCTGACCCCCATCCTACCAAACACATTTAAAAAACCACTGGCTGTCTCACTTAAAAATGTGGTCATTCCAGGGCTCTTGGCACCAGATCAGAGTATTATTCTAATACCAACCTAGAGGAATGAAAGCTATCTATTGAATCACCTGCATCAGCTCCTGTAGCATCCAACTTTCCAATGTTACAACACCCCTCCCTGAATCACCATCAACGGTGCTATTGAAAGAAGGGTTTGATGAAGTTTATGCTTCGCATAGACTTGGCTATTTTATACAAAATGATAAACACACCCACTGACGTGCAGATAGAAGGAATATTTTGCAAGGAAAAATGACTGCCGAATGCTTTTTGTTGCTGCTCAGTGCCGTGCCTATAAACAACCTTCATCCAAGAAAATACATTGAGAAACGTCCTAATGGAGGTGTTCTTATCTTAGGAGGCTTCAGCTTGAAGTGGCGTCTTAACTCAAGAATGCATGAGCAATGAAGATGCCTAAAAGTCCTCTGAGTGATTTCAACAACAGGATCAATGCACAAGCAGTTCAGAGCACACCGAGCTCCTACTGCAGCTGAAGAGTAGAGCATTAAGAAACAGAGAATTTGATTGAAAAGGTAGGTTTGAACAGTCTATTAGTAGACAACTTAAAAAGTGTCACCCCGGCTATCTTCAAGCTTTTTTATTCTCCAGGAAGACCCTAAAGGAAAGTGGAAGTGTCTTACCAAATTTTCTCGAAATGCATAAGAACAAAAAGCAAGCAAGCAATAAACTCCCCCCCAAACAAAAATGTTCAAACAGAAATGGAAAACCTTGGTTTTCTTTACCTTCCCATCACCATTAAAGGACTGAAATGGGCTTTGCTCTAACTTCTTAAACAACTTTACCTTTGGGCAAGCTGGAAAGTTCTAGCCAAAAAGAATGTAATAAAGCAACTACAAAGAGGGAGGAAAAATGCAGAGGAGGGGAATTAGCATGAAGATGGCAATTCCACTTTTTTGCTACAGGCAAGCACTTTGTTCTGTGCTCCGTTTGGATAATGTATCTCTCTCACATCTACAGGTATAAAAATGCACCCAGCTGCTGCACTATCTTTCAAAGAACGCAGCAGCTACAAAGCCTTATCTACTGACATCACGACAGAAGGTATAATCATTACAAAATAGCACATACAGCTCTTTGCAACAAAAAAAAGTCACATGGCAAATATCTGGGAATATTTCATAGACATTAGGGCTAGAAGGGACCTCGGGAGATCATCGAGTCCAGCCCCCTACCCAAAGCGGGTTGTACGCTTTTACAAGTCCTGGTAAAATAGTTTCCCGAGCTTTGACACTTAACTTTGTTTTTAACTCCCCTCAGATTCAACCCTTCTTCCCCCTTGTTAAATATATTATTTTAAAATAAATGAAGGCAGCCACATAGCATTAAAGATGTAATTATTTTGGGAAACATTAAAAGGCAGTTGAAGGAAGTCCTGCACATGATGCATATTTTCAGTAGTACAGAAAAGTTTTACTTGCTCAATGCATAAAATTCTCATGCATTGAGAATTTAATTATAATTAAATTATAATTAAATATAATTTTACAGTCTGTGTTGTTCTAATACGTGTTTAAACTCAAATGAGGTAAACACACACTACAAATGCAAACCTAAAACATAGCCCACATATCCTTCTGTTTAACAAACTCACTTCTTACATGCATCATTAAGAACAATGATTTTCAAGGTGAAATCCCTAACAGGTGATCACTGATTATGATGCTTACTTTGCTTTTAAAGATACATTTATATGGCTGGTGACTTGAAAACATTTAAATGTGAATTTAAAAAAATGAATGAAAACGCCCAAATTCACCTGCAGTGCCAGAAGCTTTCACTACACATGCACAAACACATGCACATACAGAGGCTGATCCATTGCCTATTATTTCTCCATTTTTTCCCAGGTTACCCTGCCCCGTAGAACTAGTTAACGCAGCAGTTGTAGTTGGCAACCTTGGAGTCTGTTTAATAAAGCATGATAAATAACTGTCAGTCTTAACAACGGCAACCATCAAAAATGCCAAACTTGGAAGAAGCTCTCAGTTAGTTATAGGAAGAAACCCTGTTCTTTGGAAGTTAAAAATTGTGCTGCAGTGGCAGACAGATATATGCCCATGTCCTCTTATGGCCACTATATTATATCAACTCAGTGATCAAACATACCCTGAAAGCATGTGTATATTATGCCATTGATCCAAACAGAAAATCATAGACTTATATGCCTTTCAATTACTATATGATACCTTTATACATTTAAAATACTACAACTAAGTGCCAAAGCCTTCTTTACTGTACCTTTGTAGGAGCTCTGTCTCTGTAGAGCTGTATTGGGAGTGGACAACAGATTGCACCTCCAACTTTGTCCTAAACAGAAGGGCAAGTCGTGGTCCAGAGATTTCGGGCTCTCTTTTATAACTGAGCATAAACCGGGAGCTATCCAGCTTATGTAGATAAAGCTGATGACATCAAAAGGGGCTGATACTTCTGAGGAAAGAGTCAATGGAAACTATTTACATTATGATCCAAGGAATAGGAAGCAAATTAATTGGACAAGCCAACTGGGAGCTGTCCAGGTTATGTAGATGAAGCTGATGATGTCAAAAGGGGCTGGTACTTCAGAGGATGATGACAATTATTTAAATACTTATCCAAGGAGTAGCAAGTGAATGAACTGGATCGGTAAGCAAACACCCAAGTTATCCTGGACCTAAAGAATACTACATATGCCTCTTACGGTTTGCATTCACTTTTACAGATATTCCTTACAACTACTCATTGATTTATTTGTAACAGGGATGGCAGAGGCTGGAAAGCTCCCTGCTCAAGAAGACCCTATCAAGGATTGTCCTTTTCTCCTCTTTCTCCTATGGCCCACTTCAACCATGCAACCTGCTCTAGCCTTCGGGATCATAGGAGGGAGAGAGCATCCCAGCAGCTGAGCTGGATGAATTTCACCCTTAATAACCAATCAGGGGCTTGAGATTTTGATCTGGATGTTGGGTTTCATGGGGGGTTTTTGCGTTAGTCATTGGGGTTTTTAAATGCTGATGGATTTTTTTTCTCCTTTAAGACTAGTGAATTATTTCTCTGCTGTGTGGGCACTATATCAACAATGTCATTAATGTCACAAATAGGGGGAATTCACAATTTGAGCCTACTAGTCAAGATGCAACCATTTTAATGAACGCCCATACTTTTCTGACCCTTCCCCCTTAAGCTCCATTTCTACAATGAAGGGTCTTTTACAGGGTGCTTAATGCAGAGACAGACTCAACTGTCCTGAATGCATTTATATTGTGAAAAGCTCACAGCGGTGTTACAAGCCTGCAGGATACTTGGAGCTTAAGTCTGAAAGGGCTTGTCAAGGAAGCAAATTAAAGCATAAAGTGCTGCTTATGAAATGTTATGTTTTCTGGTAGTGAGTAATAAGTAGTGCAAAGAGTTGCAGGTTTGGCCTGAAAAGCTTAATCTGCCCATCCATTCCCCGGTGTTTGGATTTGCTGATGCCACGGTCCTGTTTCAAAAATCGAACCAAACTAACAAAAACCTGGGAAAATTCTGTCAAATTTGGAAAGGATGCAATTTGGGTGGGTCCAGATGTTTCCTTTGGGTTTTGATCTGTTCCATTTTGTTTGGAGGGTTTTTGACCTTTTTGTGGTTCTTAGAAAAACCTATAATGTTGCTTAGAAAAGTAATTGCAAAATGAAGAGTGGCAAAACTATTGGTTCTGAAAATGTCGAAGCAAGGCAGTGTAATATTAACTCATTGTTTAATGCAATCAGATTTCAAAATCAATATATTTAAAAATGTTTGCTTTTGAATACAATGTGTGTGTATGTATTCATCAACATCAAACATTTTTAAATATATTGATTTTGAAATCTGATTTCATTAAACGATGAGTTAATGTTACACTGCCTTGCTTTGACACTTTGATGAGTTAATACACGTTTGCTTTTGCGGGGATGTCTTGGCCACTGTAAGAGTCCAGCTCCCTTGCACTGTCTAGGCTTCTCATGAAATAACTCATAATATCAAAAATGCTATTCCAACATGTGCATGCACACAGTGTTTTTTGGAGGGTTTCCCCATGAGTGCTGCTGTCTTGCTCATAACATTGTTTTCAGAAAATACACATTGGCGGCTCTTATTTTGGAAAGGCAACCTAGATCAGCTCCAGTATGCTGGGGTGGTTGACGGGTATCTGTCTACCCCTGCTGCAAATCGCAGGACTTTCTGGAGAAATCCTTTAGCTGGCATGAATCAACCAGTCCCAGGGAAGTCATGGGTCATGGAAGACCGTCTGAGAACCTGTCACCCATCCTGCTCTTTATTCTGTATGCATTGTGCTAGCGTAACCGCAATGAGAAACTGCTGAAGGTGACGCATTTTGCACAGTAAACATGCACGAGGGAGACTCTTCTTTTCTCTGCTTTGTTTTGGCCGCAATACTCCCTGTAGTGAGGTTTTGGCTCTGTCGCAGCATCTGACCTGTAAACTTCAGAGCTAGCTAGGACACTTGCCTGCGCAAAAGCAAAGAGTGGAACAGGTTGCTGGTTATAGCCATGTTGGTCTAAGGACATAGGCAAGCAAGGTTCTTTGGGTAGATGCGATATCTTTTCTCCAACTACCCAGTCGGTCTAATAAAAGATATCACATCTACCCGAAGAACCTCGCCTGCCAAGAGCAGAACAGTGTATGCAGACAGTGCTGCCCCTTGAGCAAGGGGCTGTTTCCCCACTGCTCAAATACCACCCAGTGTCATGATGGAAGGCGACCAAGCCAGTTAGGTCATTAAAACAACTTAGAGTCTCTTTAAACATCTGGGGACAAATTATGGACGTGCTGTGGATTTCTGGAGTGCCACCAGGATGTGGCAGTTGCCAAAGACTGGGCAAGGAGGGTTCATTAGTGCAGCTTGCAGCATGGCATGCCCATGCAGGTGGTATCCGGGCACTAGAGAAAGCCTCTCAATCCCTGCACGGTGGCTACTGGACTGCATATTGGTAAGTGGCACTGTATCAGAGCAGCCTCCAGACTCTTTTCAGTGCCTCCTTACCCGCTCTTTAGGAACCCATCTGCCTCCCAGATGGCTAAAACTCAGCCTTCATTTGGTCAGATGGAAACACCCCAGGACAAAGCAAAGGAACCAGCTCAGTTTGCTTTCATAACATTCAAGCCTTGGCACTGCAGCATTGCCAAAAGTTAAGGGAATCATTGCATCCTCCCTCTTGCTTTACACTAGCCTTGATTGTCATATGTAGTCATCACTGGTTGGCTTGTAAATATAGTTCTGATCCTAATAAAAGCTAGCTGAAGCATAATTATTTGGGTAAAACCATAGCGTAAAGAGGAAGCAGCATTGGATATGTAGTCCTGTGAATACTGGTGCGGACTCGGACCTTGTAATGACACAGCAAAGATGTACGAAGAAAACACTGCATGGCCATGAAGGCTACCCTTGATGGTGAGGACCCCTCTGCCAATAATAGCTATCTATATTAGGGAAATATGCCCCTGAGTTTTCATTGCTCAACCCCTAACTTTCCTTTCTAGCTGCTGCATGTCAAGCAGGAGGTGGCTCTGCCCTCCCCAAAGGAAATTATTCTTCTCGTGTTCCCAGTTTAGCCATATTTGATTGGACAGAGCCAAATAATCTTAAGCTTACCGGATATTTCATTTAGGTAGTCTTAATTGTCATTTGCTGTCAGTGGCCAGCTGGAGCTTAAAGAAGTCACCAGGGAGTCACAGAAATGGAAGCTGGAAACGGTCTTGCCAAACCAGGATATTTTTTTACAGCTCCTTGCTAGTGTTTTGTCCAGCTGGGTCTCAAGTGTCCAAATAAAATATTACAGTGATTAGCACCTTTGAAGAATGGAGCTGTGGCAGGGCTGAAAAAGCAGATGAGATGTTTTCTTCCATGAAGCATGTTGGGCTTGTCCCCGCCGCTCAGTGAAATCAATGCGGACTTCTGCTGTCAACTTAAACGAGACCAGGTTTGGGGCCATCTCTGTGCTCACCCCGTCTGTCATGATCTTCCAGGCATCACAAAGCCTAGAACAAGGCATGAGATGGTGCTCGCACAGTCCAAAACCACCTTCGCCAGCTTTTCTTGCTGCCACGTCACGCTGCAAACTCCTCTGTTGGCTGCCCGCTGGCCCCACGAGATATCGTCCAACAATCTCCCCTGCTTTTGCTCCTCCCTGCTAAGCCTTTGTTTCATATTATTTCTTCCCAAATTACCTAGCATTTAACTCCAAGGATTTTTCTGCAGTGGAAAGTCTTAGAGCAGATCTCAAGTCTTCTCCTGATCGTTTTAGCCCCATGAAATAATCCTCGGTCTCACCTTGTGCTTCCATGCGACTGCAGTTTTGTTCTCCAAAATGCCCTGCTATTTGCTCTCTGCAGTTTTCCCCAGTGTCTCCTCTCTTTCTCTCCAGGAGGCAGCATATCCCAATAGGTTTGCCCCATGCTAGATTTCCTCCCTTTGATTTGCCTTTGTGCAAATTCCCTTCAAAGCATTTGCTTCTCAGCTCCAAATGGGCCTGTTCCTCTTCCTCCACCAAGGTTGAAAACATTGGGAAGGCAGCTACGATATTTCCTCTCTGCTCTTGCCAGCTGGTTACTCCAAGGTGCAATCCAGCCAGCCATGCCCCAAGCTGTAAGAGTTTCCCTCTGTTAATGTTAGTTCGAGCCCCTCGCTCTTCTTTTTTTTCCCCCGCGAGAGAAAAGAGACTCATGCTTCTTCTACTGGTTGCCTTTCTGTTCTTGGAGAAAAAAGAGCATTGCCTAGGCGTGCTGCTGGGAAAGCAAAGACAATCTGCCCGGAAGAAGCTTTCAGGCATTGCACAACCTCCGCATTGTGCTGCCTTTGATCCTTCTCCCACTCTCCCTTCTCCAGATGGATGTTTTCCAGCTGCTTTCCTCAGCTGTGGGAATTTCTCAGCCCTGAAATCCTCTGCATCCCAGCATTTCCCCTTGCCGAACTCCACCACTTGGTGCTTCCTGACTGCTTGTGCTCCCTGAGAATCGGCTCGGGGCATGTCTACATTGAAATCATCGTGAGTCACTGCCATGGCTTCAGTAGAGCGTTGGAGATAACCTTTCCCAAGCCAGCTCAGGTGGTAGCTGCCGAGCTGGGGCAGCACTCAGCTTGGGCTGCAGAGCCTGTAACCACTCAAGTGGCTTGTCTGTGCTGAGCTCAGAGGCTGTGGACTGGTTATACTTCTTTTGGGACGTGAGCTAGCTCAGATAAATCAATACTGCACTGCAGTCCCAGCAGTGTGGACATGCCTATAGTCACAAAGTGTTTGACATGGCTTCAACTATCACCCCTGGTTATCAGCAATAGGTTGCAAACCCTGCCCTTTAACTTGGCCTCGGCACAAAGGTTTACATTGAAGAAATGCAGCCATAGGCAAGCAATACCCTAGTGAAGCCCAGCTTGCTGGCCGCTCATCTCTGCTCACTCACCTCTCTGATGTCTGCAGCTGCTCCTCTCAGTCCCATGGGACAATACCTATCATTTGCTCCTTTCCTGTTCACTACTTTCCAGGGTCATTTCATCACTGGCTTTTATAGTTGCCTCAGCTCCACCTACCTGCCGTCGCCACCTCCCAGGACAAAGACAGTCCCAGCCCTGGTGGAGTACTGCCAATTAACTTGTGTCCAGTCTCACTGGAGATCTGTCTGTACATGCTGGACTATTTATGGCTGCTATTCTACTTTTAGGGGATGCCAATACTGTTATAGGGTCTGGCAGAGTTAGAAGAGCACTGAACATGCTCCTTAGGTCTGTGACAAGCCAGACCCAGCTTGCCATTTCTGAGTCACAGGCGGTAGGCTACTTCCTAACGAATGGCTCTGGGGAGGGAGGCATAAATCTATCCCAACAGCTCCTGTCTCTCACAGCTGGTAGGGTTAGGTAGCAGAGCTCAGTACAACAACTGATGGTGATTCACTCAGATTCATCGGGCCAATGTTACCGAATCACCAGTACCTTGGTTAGGAACCAGAGCAGATATCACATCACCAAGAGAAAAAGATATGACTGTACAGGTACCATGGGGGAGAGGAATGAAGATGCTGGGAACAAAAGGTGCAAGGTCAGAACACACTAATTAGCAAAACACTAATTGACTCTATTACATAAAGGTGTTTGTTGTTTGCAGTAGCACCGCCGAGTGATGCGTGAAACATGATGGGTGTGACCTGCTCCATCAGAAGGTTAAACTCCCGTCAGAGATGGGAATCCACAAGAGTCCTGTACTACGTAAAGCTTATCCCATCACAGGGTGTACCCTCTGTATCTGGGGCTGGCATTGTTACGTCACAGAGGACAGTAGCAAATGTTGTATATTTTAGCAGACTAGGAGGCCTCAACCATATGTTAAAAGCATACTCGCAGTCATCCATTTAATTCAGACAAATTCATTGTGGCTGACCAGATATCTTGAATCAAAGAAGTCACTTTGGAACCTGGACCCCTGTTTAAAACGAAAAGAATACATCAAATCAGTCCAAAAACTGATACACAGACTGATGCAAAGGGCTTGATACTAGAGCTGTGTGAATAATGTGCAGAATGCATGTGAAGATGCATTCAGTTTCTAAAGGGATGTTTGGTCCAACCATATCTTTTCCCCTTATTATTTGCATGCATGGGATTTAGTCTGGGGACTGGATTCAAAGGTCTGAAAGGTCCCTTCCAACTTTATAGTCCTATGTTCTCTGGGATGTTTTGGGACTGGTTATGTAGGTGATTAGCTGGGTATTCATGTGGAAACAAAAGGGCTTGCCATTAATCATTTGCTAGTTTTTCTCATACTTAAAAAATGCTTTATTAATCAGGCATGCAGGAGAACAGCCAGCACGTGACTTGGGAGACCCATCCCACCTCATAAGTAAGTAGTAGTGAGTAATCCAACTGAATAGCTGAGGAGCAACTTGACTTTATCTGTATAGCCTACTTGATGAGCATGAGAAAGAGAGAGAGAAAGAAAGATCAGAACTAGAGAACTGGTGTGGCCTGATGATGTTGTCACTTTGCATTTCCTCAATCAATGCAATACAGAACCAATAGAAAAAAGAGGTAGGGACCTCACAGCTCTCTGAACCGGCAAATATAGGGACTGAGTATTGGTTCCAGAATGGGTATTTTCATTACCAAATAAGAAGACATTTCAATGACATTTTGTCTGAGGAGATGCACAAGTGAGTAAAATGGGATTTGACAATGATAGATTTTTCCTTGTCTACAAGAGTTACATGAGCAGAAGCAACAAGGAAGGTGGGGCGGGGGAATGGATGACAAAACACTTGATGGCAAACAAAAGGGACCCTGGCAGAGTCCACTGCATGAAGGGCAGCATGGTCTAATGAAATAGCCAAGAATCAAAAGCCTTACAAATACTGGAGCTCTAAATCCTTCCTTACCATGCAAAGTTTGCTACTACGTCACCTTTCTGCCTTTATAACCCCATCTCTAAAATGGGTACAATGATGCTTACTTTGCAGGGGTGTCGAGGATTAATTATCTGGAATGTCTACAGAATGCTTTGAAATACATGGCCATAAGCTAACAGACAGCAGATTTAGACTGGATGTTAGGAGGAACTTCTTCACAGTTAGAGTGGCCGAAATCTGGAATGGGCTCCCAAGGGAGGTGGTGCTCTCCCCTACCCTGGGGGTCTTCAAGAGGAGGTT